CAAATGACATCATCAAAGCAATGAATTTCATTTCAACCAAATCTAAATTGGCAAGAAAGAATGTGATTACCATTAGTGATATGGGCACTTTTTCATATCCTACATTGTTTCATACATCATCATTATCAGTCCCCTGACAAGGTATCATATAGTCTCTGTACAGGTGAGAACCTGATCAGTTCCCTCCATATATCTGGTTTGAAAGCCAAAGACGCCTTCGTCCATGCACTGCATGTGTTATGAAAATATCCTGGCAGAATCCATTCATTTTTAACCACAGCCAATGTCATCAAACTTAGTCATGGACACATGGCCATTGATTGCATCAGGGCAACTCTCTGCACTGCTTCAGTCTAGAATCTCCCTGCCCCGCGATTCCATGGCATCACTGCACTAGCTGTAACCATAGCTATGGAGCCCAGTCTACCCCATTTTGCTAGATGACAGCTGACACTACAAGAAGGTTCATCCAACCTTTGACAGGTGTTGGTATTAATCCTACTGGATATTTCCTGTATGCATGTGTATATATGTTTTAGATAGTGAGGTTACTATAATGAAACAAATAGAAAATACAAGATTACAGAGTCAAACACAAATACACATTATATATATGTCTAGAAAACTGGAAGTCATAATGACCACAATTGAAAGAAAAGAGAAAAAAAATAAGACAAAGAGCTAAGGAGTCAGTGTAAAATTAAAAAAACAAGGAAAAGGACATATAACCACAATATTCTACATGTATGTGTAGAAAGGTGCATGGACACACACATACACTATGAAGAAAAACTTGCACCAATGAAAAGTGCATATAAAAAAGAAAATTTGAGAAGTATAAGCAGTCAATTGCTGATAACCACTGATAAGTGGACGGAGTGATTCCCAGATGGTCTGTCTACAAAACTTTTGAGTCAGGATACTGAAGGTAACATCAATCAGCTAAGTGACAAACCTTTTACTTGTATTAATTCTATCTCTCTCTCCTATATATATATATATATATTATATATATATAGGTATATATTATATATAAATAAAAAAGTATATATTCAGGTCAACACACGGTGATGACTGTCTGGTTAAACTCAATCATCAGCACAGACAATAGTGTTTATGCATGAAACAGACTGTTGTCACCAGCTGTTGACCTCAATGTCCACTTTTACATTTACATATGCTCTCTACCTGATATCAGGCACTTTAACTCATAAATATAGCATACCTTAAAACTATATTTTTGTCATATATATCTATACATACACACATATATATATATTTCAATTTTATATCACTTCAGGATATTGGCAAACAAGGTTTGACACACAGTCCCCCTCTTCTTTATCATATGTGAATTGTGATAACTTCCTGTGAGAGATGTGGTTTTCTGTTGCTTTCTCAATGATTTTAATTCACAGTTTTCCTTCTCTCAAATTGGTTGCCACCCGATGCTAGAGAGTTCAGTCTACTCTGCTATTTAACCCATGACTAGGGGGGAAAATTGTTGGATTTATGCTTTTTTAATGTGAGAAAATACATCAAAGTGAATTTGAACACAGCTTGCCCATTCCACTTAAAGTATTTTATTTTAATTTCTTAGATTAAGTATTGTCAACTCTTATTTCTTTTTAAATATCCCTTCAGGACATATCTGATCATGGCTCTCCACGGATTCTTTTCCTTTATTATCTGTGAAATGACATTTATTCTTGGGAAAGATTGTGAAGTGGTTTTACATTGAATTTCAAACTGGGGAGAAAGCAAAGTTTTTCCTTTTTTTTTTTAGACTGGTTGCCACTCAATGCTATAAATCACAGTCTACACTGCTATTTAACTCCTAAATGGGGTTGATGGAAAAAGAGATGAATTCCCAAGGGTATTTGTGAGAGAGTGAATGCAATAGACTCTCATTTGAACTCATTGCTGATTTCACTTTCCATGCCAATAGCAACTATATCACGGGCACGTTTCATTATTCACATTCCTGCAAATCACACTGACCCTATTGCCACAAGTTATCTTACTATCCACAGTCATTAGTAAAATAATATCTCTGCTCTTTAATGTTAGCAAATAAAGGCCAAGCCTTACTTTTTCATCAAGATTAGCATGTAATTGATTCAACCTAGATTTAGTCACCATTTTGTTTTTGGTTTCTCTGAATAGAAGAACAGATAAGATGCAATCTTAAAGAAAACAATATTGAAGATTGATTGATTGATTTGTTTGTTTAACAGCATATCAACACCATATGGTTCATTGAATGCTAAAATTTAATTTTCTTGGGAGCTTTGAGGTAATAAAAACATTGTTATTCTGCTTTCACAATTGAAGACATGGTAGATGATGCTCAGCTTTTATGCATATACATGTTTGTGTGGACATAATTACTAGAGGTGGTGATATGTGTTTTATGTTGTTGTTTTGCTGAACTTATCTTTTGGAATATACTTCAATTTAAGAAATTGTTGGATATCATATGGATTAATGTTATGAAAGAGTTCTTTTATGTCAGTTATTTGCTTGGTTTTGTTTAGCGACATATCAACACCTCTATAGGTTATTTAATGCCGAAATCTAAATAATATGAACAAAATTTTATGGCATCAACTAAATATATTTTGAGTACAATTGTATACTTTCATCTACAGATATTGGTTGTTATTTTGTTTTAAAATATATTGTTGGTCATTTTACTATAAATAAGTATTGTTGGTCATATTTTATTTAAAAATATATTGCTGGTATTTTTACTATAAAAATGTAATTTCATACTTTCATTGTTTTGCTTGGGAGTTCACTATTTGCCCATAGCTGGGACCCTAACAGGTGCTGCCACCCTGTGTCAGGGTGAACCTGGGAACAACAACAGTTTAGAAGTGGTTTCATGCTTCTGAAAACCTCTAATCTTCTGACCAGAGACCTTGCTGCCGGATGTAGTTTATCGTCATACCAAGCACTTACAATATTGAAGAAAAAACAAAGAGGAATGCTGCTTTCCATGAAAATCTGGAAAATTATGCTATGTTTTATCAAGTGTGCATAAATTTGTAAATAAGCCAATTTTTGTAATCAATTTATTTTATAGAAATCTGTTTATGTTCTTTTGTTAAATTGCCAAGATACATGTTGCATTTATATAGATTTTAATGCTCAATAGCAAGTGCAATTTAAATATGGGTGCTTCTTATAAAACATTTGGTAGTAGGTGAATCTTACAAACCATTGACAGTGAGTTCAATTTATATTCTTAAATAACCTTGTTAGATCTAGATATTCATATGGATTTTATGTATGGCGCCAGACCCCTTGGAAATATCTCAACTCTCAGCTGTGTAAAACTGTTTTCTAACATTAATGGTTAAAAAACGCTTTGAGACTGTGGAGAGTGACGAATGCCATCCTTCTTTGACCATCATGGAGTGGCACTGCAGATTCACAAATAAAAAATTGTTCCAGGTAACAGAAACCAAAAAAAGAACAGAAAAATCCTTAACAAAGAACTTTTATTGGTCTTATTTATAATGTTTCCCTGCAGACTATTGATACTTTCATACGGATGTCATGCATGGTGCCAAAAACGTTCAGAAATATCTAAATAGGCTGCTGTATATAACCACTTTCTCAGAACAATAGATAAAAATGGCGTTGAGGGAGTGAAGCCTGTGTAGCTTGGTAAAAACCATCCGTCTTTGAATATTGTGGACTGGTGCTACAGAATCAGAAACAAAGGACTGTCCTAGATAACAGAAACCATATCACTTGAGGACTTCCAACAGCAGCAACAACTAAAATGGATATCATATGGAACTCAAAGAGAAAATAATAACATAGTCAAAATGTTGATGTTCCACACTACTTCAAACAAAAGCTTAGGAAGGAAACATACATTAATACTAGAAACAAGCCACTGGACGTGAAAAATCTATTTTCCTGAAAAATTGTTTTAAGAGAAAAGATTTTATAAATTTCAACTGACAATAGTACAAGCTATTGAATGTTTCCTTATAAGGAAACAGCTAATATTACCATTAGTTTTAAGCTGAAGCTTTAATTGTGAAAGATGAGCTAAAACAAACAAAGTAAATACTGATAAATTTGTTAGCTACCGTACTCACTTAGGAGTAGAAAACAGTTATGATAATTCCACATCTGGTCTGAATAAAAAGGTTTTTAATAATGACAATTCCACATCTGGTCTGAATAAAAAGGTATTCACTAATGATAATTCCACATCTGGTCAGAATAGAAATGATTGATCAATTCGTTGTTTACATTTTATCAATCTTTTGTAAGATTTTTAAAACCCAAACTTAGTTTGGGATTTTAAGAATAATATTTTTTTGCATGTGTATATCATATTCATAATTTCCTCAATACAATAATGATTTTCAGATACATGTCCTACTATTTAACCCATAGCTAAGAGGAAACCGGTGGATTCATACCTTTCCATGAGGAAATATAACAAACTCAATCATAATTCAAACTCAGTTCTCCGATTTCTCATTTCAAGCTGTTATCCATTAAACCACCCACACATCAAAGCTTACAGAGTTACCTAGTATTCTTAAGCGGTCACCCATATCTGATGATAACCAGACTCAACATTGCTTAACTTCAGTGATCATATGAGAACTCATGTTTCAAAGTGATAATCCCATAAGCCTTTTTTCCAATTCAGTTATGAATATTAATTACATAGATCAAATATTATATGGTGTACATTTTTTATCAAAATTATTATACAGTATATAGTTTAGATCAAAATTCAGCTAAGAACTGTAAGTTTGGCTACAGACTTATTGATTCAATCTTGTAAACATGAAGAGAAAATAGGCAAAAATCAATAGATTGAGATAAATTCCAGCTAAAAATACCTGGAAGGAAGGAAAGAAACATTAAGACCTAAAATAGTGAGAGAGAGAGAGAGAGAGAGAGAGAACCAGAGTGTTATATACTGAGGAGTAGAGATATAGAGTCAAACAAAGATAGGTAGG